ACTACTGAACTCCTCATGTAACATATAGGGTTATGGAAGGAATGATTAACAATGAACCAAAAAAGGCATAATTATGTTATAAAAACAAAGGACATTTAAATACAATAAAGTATATGTGCAATATACACTGCATGCACTGGTTTATACGAGATAATAACATACTGAAAAGAAAAAAACCTGAAATTCTCATGTAGGCCCAATTTTGGGGAAAACAAGAATAGACTAACTGCTTCACCAAAAGCATGCTGTAAGAGTCTACTAATTGGAAGCTTCCTGTGAAGTCGAAGTGTATCTGCCTGGCAGGCAAGGAACTATGTCTGCATGCAAATGAGTCAGATCTGTAAAACAGATGTGTATGCCATACTCAGGTTCTGGAACAGAACTAGAGACCAGAAGTGGACCAACATCCAGAACTTTCTGCCAGAGTTTACAGCCGTTGAGCGCGAAGAAAAACAAAAGCAAATCAATGCCTTTCAAACAGCTTCAACAATCTATTTTATGAGCAAAATAAAAGAAAGTTTCTCGACTGCTAAAGCTGAAAAAGAAATAACTGTAAACAGTAAATCAAGATTTTAAAAATGTTAAGTAAAGGTCCCTTCTGACACCACTTGTGTGCATTATGAGGTATATGATGCTGTACAAATCAGATTGGTGATGTAGTCAACATCACGCTGGCCACCTATACCTCTCAGAACTTTACCTGCTACCCATTTTATGTCAACCTGGCAGCCAGAGTTCTGGGCAGAAATCTTTGGGAAACAGACAAGCTCTAGTTCCTGGGACAATATAACAGGCCCACATATGAAAAAAAAGGGAGTGTTTTACAACAATCACAAATTTATCCAAGAAACGAGTGAATCTCTACTATGTTATGCTAGTGTGTGCTCAAATGACCACAAGATATTTAAGGGCAGTGGTTTAGAACCACAAGCAGGATTAGTCAGGTAAAAGTATACACACAGATCAGGCTCATGAACATACAAGCCCACTGCCATGTAGGTACTGTTGCAAGTCAAAGGCTAGACAAGATAGACTCAACAGAAGAACAAGACTGAACAAATGGACACAGGTGTCATAAAACACAGCAATACAACTTTCTGATGACTAACTGTAAGTACAAAAATATGTGGTTTGTGATTCTAAGCTAATTTTAAGTCAACAGACAAATCAATGTTAGAAAAGTCATAGAAGTAAATATTAACATCTTTAACCAGTTCTATATTTCCACTGCTTAGATAAAAAAAAAATGTTTCCCTTCCAGCATAACAGCAAATGATTAATAGCATCTTTATCCCTACATTATGTTATCAGTGCCAAACATGGACAATGAATAGAGCACTAGAACAGAGAATAACTACATGTGACTACTAACAACACAAGAAGAGACAGGGTTTCGAATACCAGCATAAGATCATGTCAAGATTATATTGACAGACAAAGAATAAAATGGTTCAGCTATCTAGTGAGAATGCAGCCAGACCAAACTGCATATAAGACTTTTAACAGCAGAATATTTGGGAGGAAGGCGAGAGAAAGACCAAGAGACTGATAAATGGTGTAGCAGAAAACTGCACAAAGATGAACAAATCCATCACCCAAGCCACCGAAAAGCGCAAGACAAATAAAGAAGACCATGACTCTTGGCTAAAACCTGGTCAGTAAGACTAAAAAAAGAAAGAAAAAAAAAAACTAGTTCTATAAATGTAGACATTGGGGATATTTGAAAATGTGGAAGGCGGAACAAGAGAAGCTGTGCAAAGAGATAGGACCTCTTCCCGTAATATTCCCAAAGACAACAGTGGTACTCTGTAGCCAACATTCACTGTGGAGACAGCACAGTAATTATATTTTTAATACACGATCTAATGCACTTTGTAAAAAGGTATTTTTTTTTTAAAATCACCCCCTTTTTTTTACAAGGACAATGAGAGGCATTTATATACTTTTGTAACACAACAGTTATAAGTAAAGACAAACAAAACAATGTATATCTTTAGTATGATAAAGTATACACAACGTAACAGTAAATTCATTTTGGACCCTTTAAAAAATGTCTATAATGTCCTATCGGTGCAAAATATAGTGAAAGACCCTTTTCCATGGCTTGAGATTGGTGGATAGTTTCAGGCCACACTCTTAGGTAATCAGGTAATGGCAGTTCCAATTTCACAGCAAATAAACCACCCTATAGTTGCACCATTCCTGGGCCAACGAACAACCCCACAGAATGTCCATCACCGCCCATTGTGAAAAACACTAACAGACTGCAGTCTCAGCAAAGCCAATAGATGCATGGGCATTAAATGCATAAGGCAGCCATCAGAAGCTCAAACAAAAACAGGCAGGCGCTAGAAATGCTGTTCGTAGCTGAAAGTGGCAGTTACAACAAATCAGTAGTTGCACACACAATTAGTTGCATAAGGCACAAATTCTGTGGCAACAGGTTCCATGATGAATCTGTAGTTCACAACACAAACCATGACTGGCACAGTTGCACAGCATTCTAAATGAAAACTGCAGCTCACAGTGTCATGATATGCACTCAGCTCGGTACTCACCTTTACATCTTTCAAATACATTATTTATCCTTATCTTCCAAATTTAGTGTGTAATATTCTCTAGACTATGATGACATCAGAGAGGCAACTATTTAAATTAAAACACACATTAAATAAAACAATTGTATCATAACGGTAAATTTAGGAAAGACTGATTTTATTCATAAGCATTCGCTGAATCAGTCATATGATAAACAATGTCTTTGACAAAGTAAAGCCTAAATCAAGAAAACAGTATAACATTATAATTTGGAGATAAGATAGGTTAATATCTTTATAGAATAAACAACTGTGAACACAGAGAAAAAGTTTCACAAAATGTGAGTTTTCATACATTTAAAAATACTTCATTCTAACCTGTGACCAAAGTAAGATAAGCATGAAAGCACTGGCGCTAGATTTTGCACCGGTATGTTTGAATCTTTAAACAGCAAGTTCTCTATTGTTTTGTAATGATTTTGTAGTTTTCTAGAATGCTCTATTTTGAGTGACTGTAAAAAACCCAACTGACCACTGTTATCCGGCATTATCAGTGACAAGATGAACATGCCAGATTTCTTTCGGAAAATGAAGAAGACATCCTGAAATCAACTGTGCTTCTCAGGTGGGTTCTGGAACCAAATTTAGAGATGTGGGGGAGGGAAGAACAGTCTCCACCCCCCACCCCAGGTGACTAATTCTTGAGGTTTTGAAACTGGATGCGTTGGGCTAAAAAGCGTAGATATCATCGCCCAGCTGCAGACCACAATACAAGATGCCACGCAACCCTCTAAGGGTGAATGCAGAAGAAAAAGAACTATTAATGATGCAAAACATATCTTCAACATTCTTAGCTGAAACTGTTAAAACTGTGTTTTCCCTAAATTAATATTGAATCTTAAATCAATTTTTGCTTTTAAAAAAAAAGTTCCTTAGGATTTATTTTAAGGGAATTTTTTTTTTTTCCCTTGCAGATACAAAAATCTACATGTATTCACCTACTAAATTCAACATTTACTCTAATACAACTGTCTCCTTTTCTTCTGCAATATCGTTATAACTTTACAAATCTCGAACTCCTGTCTTCATTTTTTGCCACTCCATTTCCTGAAAAACAGTCTCTCATTTCAAGCAATAAAGCTTTCCTAAAGTTTTTCATGCATATCCATTTTACAGATCTGGCTTTCTTGTATGCAGACTGTCGGTTCCTCAACTCTTAGGCGATGCACTGTGACTTGGAACGAAACACCACTAATTAGTCATTTCTGACGACATGCTTGTAAGGGGGCAGCAGGTCTATTCCCTGCTCCCCACAAAATGGGGCCCTGGAACCCACACACGGACTTAACTTCAAGACTTATAATGCTTTTTATCAGTCTACTGTGTTCTCATTTTTCTATAAAACTAAATCTTGGCAGCTTGCACGTAATTTTATTTTGTCACTAACTGGCTGATTGTCCATGATTCACCCACATAATCAGAAATTGTTCCATATGCCTCTACTGTATTGTCATTCTTCTGTAAAACCACATCTCGGCAGTTTCCACATAGTTTCTTTCATGCACTGGCTGACTGTTGGTGAGTCACCAACTTGCATCAGAAATGTTTCCATATGTCATTAAAGTACTCTCTAACCTTAGCTTCAAACTATTGGACGTAAATTTGCCTAGAAAAACCACGCAACTAACCTAACCTTAGCTTACAAAGTGTTTAAAAAGTTAGTTGTGTATCCTTTACAGAACACTGCAGAACTAACCTCAGAATTGTTTGGCTGTTTGTAGTTTTATTAGACAATTTTACTTTCACTAGTTTGCCACTGCTTACTAAATAACAGGCTCTTGATATCCCTGTTCAGACCAACAAAAGGCTGTCTGCTGCCAATGTGTCTGAAGACAGACTGCATAGAATACTCTTAATCACAGGGAATGCTGCTTTTGTTTTTTTAACTTTTTTAATACGCCCCTTTCTGCTAAGTATTTAAATGTATTAACTTGCTTCAAACATCCTATTAACTTTGTTATTACACTGTCTAGATCACATTTCTTTGTAAATTAAGATGCCTTCTCTTGCTTCACATACTAACAAAGATTAACACTGGTAATTATATTATATATGTTTACTATATATAGGAATGCTAAAGAGCCCATAAAAACTAAACCAAACAAAAACTCAAACAAAAAGGTAACCTAACAAAAAGAATTTTCAGGTACAGCTATGGCACTTTAACCTGTACGTTCAGGAACAAAACAATAAAAGTGGGAAATAATAAATATGGTTGAGACAAATAGGAGAACATACTTTGAAAGAATATAAGAAATTACATGTTCATAGTTCAAGAACACCTTATCAACTATATTAAGGAAGTAGGTAAAATCACATTCTTTTTCAACAAATTACGTCATAACAGTGAAAAAAGAAAACACCTCCGTACAGATCATTTGTTTGTCCAGCACTCTAAAAGATTTAGTCATCAATGGCGGTCGACAGGGCTGGTGATCCCGGAACATTACAGCCTAGTGAGAATTCATATCTTTTTGTGAGTGGGCAAAAGGCAGAGCCTTGGCTTGGCTTAAAAACAAACTGGTTGGGTTTCACAGCAAACAGCATTGGTTCTTTGATTTGTGGTCGCCTAGATGAGAGGGAAAAAAAATTTGAACATAAAGGTCACAAACAATTATATTAGAGATAATAAAATATGTCAACAAAACAAAGTGCTAACCCAGAGAGTGAACAATCAGGTTTTTCAAACATATCTTGCACTGACCAGATAATTAGCTGCACTGAGTATAATAATTTAGCCAAGTACTCAACTGAACTGTGGCTTAGTATTGTTCTGTGGTCTATGAAAAGACCTTTGACAGCACTGATAGGGAATCTCTCTCAAAACCGATGAGACATAATGGGATCCCACACACAGTTATTTCCTTAACTGTTGTTGTTGTCACCATAGTGATGACAAGTGTGACTAGCAAGACCTGCTCTTGTTAAGAAAACTCTTCCGCAAATACTGCATGGGATTTCAGGACCATTGTTGTCACCGAATGTGCTTTTTCTCAGACATCCAGTTTGTAACCTGTCTGCAATCCCATGTTTTCTCTTTTATTCCTATTCCGGCTATTACCTTCCTGATTTCTCCCCTCCATGCAACACGGCCCTTTGCATGCTGTTCCTACAAATCCACCTTAATATCAGTACTGTTCATGTCCAACCTGCACACAACTGTGTATTGTAGTAAAGTCCAACCTTGACATCTTCTATGTGTAATTCACCAGAAGGCGCACTAAGGGACTCTACTATCTTTTACCCTCCTTTGGAGACCAAGCATTAACAAAAATGTTGTGATGCCTCCTATTTCCAATACCTCGGTGTTTGTGATCTTGTCTTGCCACTTAATGCCAAGAGTTCTTTTTAGGTATAGCATGTGAAAGCTATTTGGCTGTTTCTTCTGGTACCAATAAGTCGACAAAGTTGCACTGCCGTAAAGAAGAGTGCTAAGAACACAAGCCTGAAAGACACAAGTTTTTGTCAGCTTTCTGTTATTCTGAACTTTCCATAGACCAATTAAGGCTAGGAATGAAGGTCGTCCTCTCCACAGCACAAAGCCTAGAAGTACTATGGAGACCAAGTGTTGCCCCTGCATTATGATCCCTCAAATGTGTATCCAAGACAACAGTGACAGACTGAGCACAAATGCTTCAGGCAGATCTTTCACAGCCAGGTCTAGCATATATTGTTGCAAAAGAAAAAAATAATCACCAAAACTGATAAAGCAATGCAGGTGAATTTCTGTCGAAGCGAACACCAACTTTACCCACAGCTTGGAAACAACTGTTGGAGACTTTAAAGAACTTGGTATCAACACCAACTTTACCCACAGCTTGGAAACTATTGTTGGAGTCTTTAAAGAACATGGTGTCAACACCAACTTCACCCACAGCTTGGAAACTATTGTTGGAGTCTTTAAAGAACTTGGTGTCAACACCAACTTCACCCACAGCTTGGAAACACTTGACAAGCTGCACAAAGCCATCAAGAATAAACATCCCCATGTGCTTTTTTGCAAGATAACGCTTATCCACATGTTGCAAAAACTGTGCAGGAAGCATTAGCAGAGAAGAAGCGGCAAACTCTGCAACATCCAGCCTATAGTCCTGATTGGTTATAATTAGATTTTCATTTGTTGGGATCTCTAATAAAAGCTCTCAAGGGGCAATAATTTCATACAGATGCAGAAGTACTGAACGAGGTACTCATGTGGTTTAGGGAGCAGCCACAATTCTTTTGTGTGGACATTCCCTCCCTATTTAAGCAATGCTTGCTGGAATGCCTATGGTGCATAATTTTTTTTCAAAATGAATGCTTTGTTTAACTCTGCCACACCTGTTGAAGTTTCTTTCATGCTGCTGTAAAAAAGCCATTGGAATAGACTTGAAATTAACATTCTCTTCCCTTTCCCCCTCCCTCTCTCTCTCTCACTTCTATGAATGTGTGGTTGCATGTGAGTAATACAAATTTGAAACAATTACTTTGAATCCTCAACAACTGTGACTTTTTCACAACCATCTGGTGGCTCACGCACAAATGGGCAAGATTTATCCAGCTTTGGACTTGACAGGTAGAGAGATGGTTCAGGAGAAGTCTCAATATCTCCTGTTGTGAGGTTAAAAAAAAAACTGTGACAGAATACTACACCCAAAGCTGAAATAACACATGATTAAGTTACCAGCAAGCATGTAATTTATTGAAGGGGATGGTGAAACCCATATTTACGCTTGTTAGTTAGTCGACTAACAAACAGAAATATGGGTTTCACCATTCCCTTCAGGGATCCGCTGTGGTGTAGCAGCTAGACAACTGACCCCAGGCCTGAAGGCTGTAGGTTCAAATCAGCACTGAGCCGGATTTTTTTTTATTTCACTGACCTTTGCTCCCAGGTTGACCAGCCTACAATGTTTTCAAAATTTTTATTTCCCCACATGATAACTACCTACATACCTCTGCAATTATTTCTTTAACACAAAACCTTTGCAATTTTTACTTAAAACGTAAAATAAGTGTTGATATACTTATGAAATTTTTTAATTCAACAGAAAAGATATTCTCTGACATAACTTCGCAACTTTTACTTCTTCTTCTGAATAAAAGGGTAGTTGGCACTGCGTTGTGGTTTACAGAATTGTTGCAATATCTACACCTTTAAATCCAACACATTCAATTTTAGCAAATCCTTAATTAGTCATCTGTTAAGGCATGCCTGTTAAAAAAGAGCAGTAGGTTTATTTTGTTTTCCCCTAAAAATGAGACCCTGGAACCTACTCAGGGTAACTTTTACTAAAAACTTGAAGATAAATGCATTACCCCAGGAATGTTTACTTTAATACAAAACATTCTCTTGAAACTGTCACTTTAATAACAACCCCCCCCCCCCCTTTTCCCCAAAATACAACCAAAAAAAGATAAGTGCTGACACATCTGTGCAATTATGTATACTAACACAAAAAAAACATCCTTGCACACCTCTGCAATTTTTACTGTGACACAAAACATATGTGCTGGCATACCTCTGCAGTTTTTACTTGAACATGAAGGTTAAGTGCTGGCACACCTCTGCAATTATTACTTAAAAAGCGAAAGTTAAGCGCTGGCACACATCTGCAATTAATACTTTAACACAAAAGTTAAGTGCTGGCACACCTCTGCAATTATTACTTTAACTCAAAAGTTAAGCGATGGCATACCTCTGCAATTATTATTTTAACACGAAAGTTAAGCGCTGGCACACATCTGCAATTAATACTTTAACACAAAAATTAAGTGCTGGCACACCACAACAATTTTTTACTTGAACACAAAAGATAAGCGCTGGCACACTTCTTAAATTTTTACTTGAACATACTCCTGTGGTGTTTACTCTAACCCCCAACTAAAAAAAGTGTTGACATACCTTTGCTAGATTTACTGTCAGCAGAGTCAGATCTACTTCTGGGTGTTAAATGAATGTCCACACTTCCTGACCTGGGAGTTACTGACGGACTGGTGGATGGACACCGGACTGCTACCATTAATGAAGAGGTGGATAAATTATGATCCATATGACTCGGAGTCTGGGTATTAACACTGCGCATGTTGTTTAGTGGAATCACCTCTGGTGGTGGTGCTCTGTGTCCATCTGGAATCTCCTGTGACGACAATTATCAAGATCAAAGAAGTTTAATGGCATTAACATGACTGACTACAAAGCCCTTCAAAAAAATATAATGGGGGGGGGGGGGGGGGGGGGGGGGGGGTGGGGTGGGGGGGGGGGGGGGGGGGGGGGGGGGGGGGGGGGGGGGGCCTGTTTACCAAAAATATTAACCTAATTTATGAGGTCTGCTAGTGAGTGAAACTTGTATCCCAACTAGGGCTGCACAGCAAGTGATTAACACCCGGTGATGCAAAGTGCAATGTGTCATCACCTGGATGAGAATCCCCAAGGCAAACTCAGAAACTCAGTTCAACCATGAGATTATATTAGGGTCTTCAATAATGTAACCTAATTTTAACTGAAAAAAATGTTTATAACTGCTCTAAGCGATACCAAACACATGTGCAGCCATCTTGGAATTTAAAAAATACCCAGATGAAGCTTTATCGGTAAGGCCATTTGCATTCTACATGTCACTAGTTTGCCGAATATGGTCACCAGATTGGAAATTCTGCGATCGCCAAATTTGGTCAGCAATGTGTTTAGAGCCACAGTGGCTAGACTCTTGCCTGCCAGCACAAAGGTCTTGAGTTCATATCCACATTGAGGTTGATTTTTCCTCAAAATTGACCTTTCCTTCCAGGTCTACCCAGCTTTAAATGGGTACATGCAATGTCCTAGGAAGCAAAATCGACCAGCGTTATTCTGACCACATCACCCAAAAAGTGCCAGTTGGTCTATAAAAATATTAGTCTAGAAATACCAGACCGGCGAGCCACTGGTGTAAACATGGTCCTTTACTTCACTTACTACTCCTTTGAACTTAACCCAGGCTAGTCATAAATGTGGGTACTAAATAATTTTAAGAAATATCTGGACTGACTGGGAAGGAAAGGCTGTGAGGAAGGGAAATAAAAATTCTATTTTATCTGCCGTGTAGATATTGCGAAGGCTAAGAATTTCACCACAGACCCAGAACAGCAGTATCTGTCACGGAACTACTTTTAACTACTATGGCACTTTCAACAATCACCAGCAATAGGCTGGAGAACCAGATGTACACATGTTGTAACTGTAACTGACTCGCAGAGCCTGCTGAGAAAGGGCAGACAGGTAAGCTCCATGCAGAGTGGCAAGCATCTTTTCTAAGGTCCTGGCTAGTCAGCTTCCTTTGGGATATTTTTTCCAAGTCATGCATACCTGGTTCCGCATTACTTGGTGGTGAACTTATGTATGACAAGCTAGGTGTTCTAAGGGTCTGTTGGGAGGGAGTGAATGGTGTGGTGGCACAAACATATCAGCATTCAGCATTAGGCTGCCAAAAACATACAAAGTTTTTTTTTCTAACTAAAGAGAACAAGACAACATTTTCATCACTGTGGTAAAACAATATCTTACTTTGAAAACATCACCATCATCATCAGGGGCAGATAAACTGAACATAGGGAAACTGGAAACTAGTTTTTCAATCTCCTGAAAGAAAGAAATATGTAAGAGAACTCTAAGATACATTCTGAAATTAACTTCAATATTTTCTCAATCACTGACTGTAAAGCCCGGCAGAAAGTTCTGGTCAACTTCTGGACTTTAGTCTTGTTCCAAAACTTGAATTTTGCATGCAATTCTTTTTACAGATCTAGCTTATTTGCATGCAGACTGTTGATTACTCATCCCCCAGGCAGATGCACTCTGACTTCAAATGAAACGACTCTAAATAGTTGGCTTTTTAACGACATGCTTGTGAAGGGAGGGGGGGGGGGGGGGGGAGAGAGATTCAAACAACTCTACCACAGTGGTGCCCTGGAACCTACACATGGAATTTTTTGTTTATCTTATTGGAATTAGTAGTTTTTTTTTTTGGGGGGGGGGGGGGGGGGGGTAATTTATATTTTACACTGGAGCTATGATATCTGCACCTTCTTGCCCACACTCAACTTCTTCCCTACATTTGCTGACAGTTTTATCCTTCTAAGGTATTTATGTATGACATTTTTCCCCTCTCAGCTTGGTATCATGTGTCTGCTCCATCTATAGAGGATTCAACCCAACAACATATTGTGAAGTGTGGCACAAATGACATCTATGACAGGAAGACACAGATATTCTCCATGTCTAAGGAGGCTTCCATTAATGCTGAGCCAACATATAATGCTCAGAATTCAGGCCTGCTCAAAGAACAAAAACAACAGTTCATTACTTTTAAGCTCATAAATATTGGGCCCTTCTTCCACCACAAGCTGTATTTTAACCCTTCTGCTCTTGAATGCTAAAAAAATGATTAAAAAGTCATAAACATGTAGAAATTTTTGGAGAAAAAATCCTTTAAAAAAAACACGACACAGGTTACTAATAAATATAAATAGAGGTAATCATTAAACACGAAGCATAAAATGGGACACATTCCGCAGGGCGTTCTAAAAAAACCCTAATGTACCAGGTGACTTATGCTGTGACCCATGACCTCCATCACTGAGGCTTAAGGGAAAAATTAAGATGGGACCAGACAAAATCACTGACCTGATTCATGCAGGGGCACTGCGCAATCAAGTGGTACCTGGTGCACAACATGTCCTGTTACCCACTCAGGCACCCCTCCCCCCCCTCAATTTTTTTTAATGTTTCAAAACACATTTTTGCCATTCTGCTGCCCCACCCCCCTCCTGTGATAACCACTGGTGCTGTCCATCTTCCCCCTTTTTACGCCTTTGGATCTGTGATTTTGGTGATCGCGAGAGATAGTGAAACATGGTAGAAGACTGGACAGACATGATGACCAATGCCTGGTGACATGGACCATGAGGAAGAACATGTATAAAATGTTTTCTGCTCGTTCATTTGCTTTTACCCCAGTGTGACCTGGCACAAAAATGAAACTGCCTCAGAGACTCCAATAATTATTTTCAAGCCCATCCTGTTTCGATCTTCTTAAGCATGTTTACAGAATCAGAAAGCAAGCACAGGACAAATTCTGTGCCTCTAGCCAGGTCATTACCTTTGTTGACACGATCACCTACCGTCATAGTTAAACTACTTGTAGTCACACACACAAAACTCACTGTATTGAGACCTTCCACACTATTTCTTTGATATCTGTTCATGTTCTGTCTTGGACTGTGAAAGGCTGAAAGATGGATGGCTTTTGTTTGCTGCACACATAAAGCTGGTGGTGCAGTCATGGATAAGGCAGAATGGTTTGCTGGGATTGGACTCGAACGTTGTTTTCCATCACCATATTTGCTGCCTTCCTTTGACTTTTGCAAGTGTTGCTTTATGAACTGTAACTAGGAAACAGAGACACATCAAAAACTGTACATTTAGAATTTCAAGATAATGTTCTAGAAAAGCTAAAACAACAACTATCGATACTCCATCCTGAGAAAGCGTTTTCTTACTTGTACGATTTTTGATGACATGAATGTTAGAACTTTGTTGTATGATGTAGGAAAGACAAAGAGGGCCAGAGAGTGAAGTTAAAAAGATGGGGAGGACATGGGAAGAGCTGCATTCAATAGCGAAGGATAGAACGATTTTACATGAGATGATTAGGGTCTATGCTCTATTGGGGAATAGAGGGCAGAAGAAGAAAGATGACATGATGTTTTCGGGTAGTGGCTAATATACCTTTATTAAAGCTTTTGTACAGGTTGCAACTGCATAGTATGTAGACGTTGTGGATATGATTTTAGTTAAAACAGACAATTTTTTTTTGAGAATTTATTTTCGCTGAAACAAAAATTTTAGTTCTCATTATGACGTCATAATAGTCACATTAAGTCACTTTGCTCTTTGTGGCTAGGTTTTAAAAAACCTGGTCAAACGGAAGGAAAGCAGCTATTTCATTTGTATTTTTTCTGTTTGTATTTAGTGATTATTCTTTACAGACAACAACAACAAAAGTTAAAATCACCTCTGCACAAAATAATGATTCTTAATGTGAAACATCCATCATTTTAGTGAGTTGGGAGCTACGACAACACAAAAGCTAGCAAGCTAGCTGTCTGATCAGTGATCATAGGTGGCAACCCCCTGGATATTTATAAAAACTTACCAATACTCCAAATTTCTTCTCCTTTTCCTCTTCCTCTAGTTTTTTACGGTAGAGTTTAAGAGAATTAAAACAATGTGTTTCTTTTTTTTTTTATTTTTCAAATAAGGTTTTTTTTTTTTTCAAGATCTGTTTGGGATGAAAGGCTAAAACTGTGCTTATTGTATAATGGGGAAACAGAGAAAGACAATTATCTTATGCATGTTCGCATACATGTTATATGTAAACATGTTTTATGATTTTCATTATTATACATCCTTGTTTCCTCAATATACAATAGACGAGTATGCACGCACACATATACACACACATTTATGAGATGGGTGGCACAGTTAATTAAGAATGTGATGAACTTAGAACACACATTGCACGGCATGCTTGTTAGGGTGCATTGGGTCTACCCCCCCCCCCCACCTCCAAAATGGAGCCCTAGAATCCACACAGTGACAATGATTTTAAAGCTGTCTGATACTGTTTTTCAATCAGATGACACTTTCAGTGATTACAAATTCACTAAAGTGGTGAAAATTAGGCTATAAATATTGGCAGTCAGTCAAATCCGTATTGAAAAGGTTAAACAAATCTTCAATTAAACTTACTTTCATTTGATCCCCCTGGCCAAATGAAGCAGACCTCCTGTGTCCCTTTTTCTTTTTCTCACTCTTACATTCCATCTCAGCGGTCTGAAACAAAACAAGTGCAGCACATCTTATAACAAAACAACAATGTAATAATACAGCAAGCACTACTTGTTTTCATTTTTCTACAACCATGATAACATTACTCCAGTCTATAATACCAACTTTTTAGATTGTCCACACAATCCATCTATCTATTCCAGTACCCACTTGGTAGGGTACCTTGAATTTCGTTAACTGTTTATGTCTTCTGAGTGTCTACTTGCTCAAAATCTGAATAGGTAGGCAGGATTTGAGGTAAAAAGGACGCAAAGCCTGGCTGCTCATCCAGCATGACACAGAAGATAGACAATCACCAATCACATGTCTTTAAGACGACTACTCTCCCCCCCCCCCCCCCCCCCCCCCCCCCCCATATCACAAAAAAAACATAAAACTGACATAGCAGCTATGATTACTTCAAAAAGTTCCCTGAATAGTCGACTCACATTTGAATTAGTAATTATGACATGAAGATTATAGTTTTATAAGTTATAGTGACAACGAAATGACATGGTAGATGTGACCTTCCCATTTATTCTGATCATGTTACAGAAGTTCCTTTGTGTCTTGTGCTGGTAGCATAGTCAGAGTTGAAAATGTCCTTGGCTGAGTAGGGCACTAAGAAGTCACCCTCAGAGACAGTAAGTTTGCTTAATAAAGCATATGGTAATAGTAATACTGCAATGAAGAAACCACGTGTTTTTGAGTGGCATGAAAGCTGTATTAGCGTTGATGATAATAAACACAGAGGGTGACCGCCTACCACAATAAAGAATGAAAATAATAATTGTGATCGGAAACACTGTTCATGCGGACAGAAGATTTTGTGTCAAGAAAACAGGCACAGAAGTTGGAATATCAAAGCTGCCATAATATTTTTCTCCCTAAGCTACACATGTACTGTGCTTGTCAACACATGGTTCCCAAAATTTTATCATCTGAACAGAAAGAAAACAGAATGACACTGACAGAAGACATAATCAATGTGACGCAATTTTCCCAACAACATAATCACAGGAGACGATATGATCCTTTGACAAAACGTCTGTCCTCTACTTGAAGTTTTTTTGTTTTTTTTTGTTCAGATTCGCAGGAAACTGTCTAGTGTGACTGTATTCCTGTAGACCAAACAGCCAACATCTAAGAGATGCAATCAGAAGGACACAACATGGAAAATGGAAAACAGTTGGTTTCTGCTGTATGACAATGTACTATCAAATTGTTTATAGTGGGGAACTAGTGTTTGAAAAAAGTTCACAATTTCAAAAAGAAAATGTGTCTTAAATGTGCTTTATGGCATCATTATTTTGTGCATACTAAGAATAAACTAAGGCAGTCTTTGTTCACAATCTCACAACTTTGCATTCATCTCTGAAATTACATTACATGCAGAGTACACAAACAATGAACTTACTTGGGTAGATTTGTCGCACATGAAAACCCCATCTGACTTATGGTGAAAACCAGTGATATCTTTGGGCCACTGGCCTGTTAGATAGGATGGAACTACTGTATCTACGGAGCTTGCTCTCAGTTTCCCTGGTCCTGGGCTGTGTCTTAGTCCTCTGGATTTTTCTGTTTTACAAAAAAAAATTTAAAAAGTCAGTATATCCTTAAAAGCTGAGTCAAGAATTGGCATTACAGCTCGCGGGACATTCCAATTAGAGCTCTGCCCTTATCCTCAGCAGCCAGCAAAGAGTTCCAAACCTGACCAGATCTAATGTGTCATGCATCAATTCCCTGCTTAATGGTATAGCCAATCTGTCATTCACTTACAAACACACAAATATGCCCTGGAGAAAAGGCCTAAAAGATTACAAACAGCCGTGACTTTTGAAGTGATGTGCCACTCTGCACAGAGCTCAGCATGTTTTGTGAGTCTGTTACTGCTGTGACTGCCTCAATCTCCATTATCTGCAACCAGATATTGTAGTATCATATCTCAGACTGTTGAAATAAGTGTTGTGTCCATTTGCTTTTACAATGAACCCTTATGCACGTCTTTCTCTCAACTAGTGGCCAAATACGAATAGCGAGACCAACTATTCGGCCGAACACAAATAGTGTATCATCATCATCAGGTGCCTTGCCGACTGGCGTTGGTGATTATGCCTCGCCACAATCTGCGATCTCCTGCAGCATGTATTAGTTCATGTGCTGACACACCTCCATGCCATGCAACAAGACTGTCAGGAATCTTCTCTCATTGTCTTCCTCTATCCACTCTTCCACAGATCTTTCCAGTGGTCACCACATGTTCCATTTTCCCTTTTCTCATAACATGGCCAAAAAGTGATGACAGTCTCCTTCTGATGTCTGTGATTAGTTGTCTTCGGGCTCTCGCCTCTTTCAAAACCTTGTGGTTTTTTTTTTTTAGGCTGTCCAAGGTATTTTAAGCATTGTTCTGTAAAACCACATCTCTGAGGCCTCAAGAAATTGTTTGGCCTGCCTAACTATTGTCCAGGACTCACAGCCATATGTTAAAACTGGATGTATGTAGCAAGGAAGAATTCTCTTTCTAACCTTCAATGACAAAGATATAATGCATAAGATGTTCTTTATTTTATAAAATGCAGTTTTTGCCTGTCCTATTCTGTTTCTTATTTCAGTAATGCATCTTCCATCTGATGTTATCCATGTGCCCAGATACTTAAATTTCTATACTTGTCCCAAAATAACACCATTGACTTTTATTACACATTTAGGAATAATTCTTTTTTTTTATACCACCATTACTTCTGTCTTCCCACTATTCAAACTGAGGCCCATTCTTCCACTTTCAAATAGTGCATAAAACAGATCTAAAAAAAAAAAACATTCATAATGTCAAATGTGCGCTGAAATTATGCTTCACAAAATGTAGTACAGAATAGTAAACATTTAAAATCATTTTATGTTTTGCATCCTTCAGTCAGTCAGTCTGTGGTAACTAATACCTAGGAATGAAAGTATTCTTAATTTTATAACAACTAAACTTGTAAACTGTCACTGACAGCTTAGTTATTGCATGAAAGCAACTTAGGCAACAGCAACTATAGCAGTGTATGCAGAAACGGGTGTAAGGTAACCAAAATTCATATCTGGCCCGACCGCAAGTATTCGTCCGACTACTGAATAGTTATTAGGTCCACTATTCGGCCCCGAAGCGAATATTCGGTACAGCCCTACTCTCAACACAGTGCCATCTGTATCACACCACCCGGACGAGAACTGTCATGAATAAATTCTCAATATCTGATTCTGGAATGCCCACATACCAATCTATGCACTCCTCGCACAATGTGTTTAGAAGACTACACAAGTCTTTTCTGGCACTTTGACCCAGTCCTCGCCTCTCCCAATGTTTTCAAGCACATACATATCTCTGATTGAGCTCTTGACTATCCATGACTTTCCTCTTACCAACCTGTGGCCCTCAGGTGTATCCAGGGATTCGTGAAGAGTGCTGATGGTCTGTACAAATATGGGACGCTCTGCCCATATGCCCGATGCGCCAAAAGGCGTGAAAAGGGATCTTTACTTTTACTTTACTTTAAGGCTGACCTTGCTTGCAGCACTTGGAGCCTGTCTGCTATAGTCAACAGTGCAAGGATGTCACATACAGACTACTGAGGTGTCTTTAGTACATCCTAGAATGACCTGTAGGGCCTCATTTTGTATGCATTTAAACTTCACCAGCCGACTATTTCCTACAGAACATAACCTATCACTGAGATCAGCAAATGCTGGAGCGTTGCAAACAGCATTCTTTGCTCCATGTCCATTGCTGTCATAATTAATCTTCAGCCGATGCTCTTTTGGCATTCTGCTCTCACTGCCTCCATATGGTTCTTGAATGGCAGGCTTCTATCGAATGTGATACCCATGTGCCTCAGTTTGCTTTCTCTTTTGTTGTTTTATCATTAATTGAGAGGCTTTATACATCAGCTCTAAAATAAAGCCACAATAAACACATGAGGGGGTCTCTATGGAGAAATGGCCAAGCTGTTTGCCTCACACTCTGAAGGCTGCGTCGTTCAGTTCACATAGACAATTTTTAGTGAGACCTTTGGGGATTGTACACGGAGCAATAGTGTTCATGTTTTGTGCAAAGCTCTAGGCAGGTGGCTAGCTGGTCTGCAGAGACAGACACAAGACTTATGGGATAAAACCCAGTGCAAAAAAGTCAATCCTCTCGACTTTCAACCTTTTAAAATTTAATAAACTTGCTTGCCATCACCCGCCTTGAATACTGTCTCTTTGGAATTGAGTTAACATGTTTCCTTTTTTCTTCTTTTTTGCTCTGTCATTTTATATAACTTTTTTAATATGTATAAAATATGACTTCATAATCAATGCAGCTGGCAATACTACAGACTAATCAACATGAATAAAATGTGCCAGATACAATCTCTATTCTGTATGATAATCATCAGGAACTCTAACCTTTCATAAAAATTCCCATAAATTGTTCAGTCCACTTAGTTATAAAAATCTGCTAGCCTCAAATCTGAAGGTCCAGATCAAGCTGCATCAACTAGGCTTGTCAATCCATTTATATTCTGGTCTCCTTTCTTAAGCACTGGTTCCAATTGACTTGAGCTTGTTAAAATACTCTTTTTGTGGGTTATTTCTTTTATTCCTTTGAGATTTAGTTAAGGACATTTGTGACTTTATATATATGCTCATTCTGAATATAGTATACTGTAATTCTTTATTCTCATATTTTAATTTGTACAGTCACAGCTTTTCCATAATTTCTGGCAGCCGTTCTGGACAATCAGCAAATGTCAAACTGTTAATATACTTTAAAAACGCCAGGGTCCTAATCATTGAGCTTCCCCTTGTGGGTTCCAGCTCCCCTCTCCTCACAAGCATGTACAAGTCGACTAATTAGGGGTAGTTTCTTTGAAGTCGGAGTGCATCTGTCTGACAGGTGAAAAACCAACAGTCTGCACAAACAAGCCAGACCTGTAGAAAGTTCTGGAACACAAAAAAGTTGGTGCACACATCGGAACTTTCTACTGGAGTTTACCGCTGGTGAACGTGAAGAAGTAATCATTTAGTTAATTATTTTGGAACTATTTAGAACAGTGCTTATAACTTTGGAAGCTGTTGAGTGGAAGACTTCTGGAAGCAGTTCAAAAAGTAGGTTATTTGCCACGCAACTCTTTTTATAAAGTGAATACTTCTTCAGTTACCTTTCTTCTAATATGTGCAAAATCTGAGTCTCTGTCTATTTTGTTTGTTCTGTGCACTTGCAATAATGAACTTACTGCATAAACATTCTTTGATGTATGTCTTATACTCAATATTACGATTTACTTTACTTAATCAAAAGTTTTCTACTTCGCTTTCTTCTGTTTTAAACCCACACAACCCCAATCAGGTACACTATATTATAAAAATTATTTATCTGATTAATATGAAGGGTGCCAGACCAAGTAATGCATGTATTCACTTTCCTGTGAACTCACTTGAAAAGCTTTTTTCTTTTTTTACTTTACCTCTAGCTTGTCATGCACTAAGTATTCTAGCCAGTCTTTATGTAACTTTAGTGCTATTCAGTCTGTCAATGTTTACTGTTATCAATTTTCCCTCAGATAAGGACAGATTAACTTTCATCGTCTATGCCAGAGCCATTCAACTGGCGGCCCTCAGGCCAAAACTGGCCCGCGAGGCCTAGTAGGTAGCCAGCAGATCATTGCTAGTTGATATGTATTATTGATCATCGAATGCTGGGGATGGGCCTCTGGCCCCCGAAGTTCCTCTTTTTCAAAATTCTGGCTCCTGAGTAACTAAACTTAGTTAAATAGACATGATTTATGCAAATTTATCTATCCTCTGAATAACGGCCACATATTATGGCGGCCACAAAAACACCCTAACAGGGCCTCTTTGAATTGTGGACTTCCAGCGACTACCACCACCGCTGATAGAGTATCTCCCACACCACTATGGGCAGCATGGATTGGGGCTAAAATAGATGACTGGGAGTCACAAGCAGCAGCTTCCGCATCTCCTGCAGCTTTGCTCATGAGTCCCAGCCATCTAGTTTAGCCCCAAACCATGCCGCATGTGGAAGATACTCTCGGCGGTGGTGGTAGTCGCCGGAAGTGTGCAATTTTCTTGTGACTGAGGCCCTGTTTTTGGTTGTCATTCGGAGGATAGCCCAAATGTGTTCTTAGCAGATCTTGATAGTCTCTCTGTAATAATCTATTCTAAAACATATATTAAAATGGCATGTTATTTTTTTCTTCTTTTCTTCTTCGTGTTCTCACCAGCTGTAAACTCTGGCAGAAAATTCTGGGTTGTTCTTGTTTTCCCTATCCCTGGATTTTCAAAGCTCTGACTTAGCTTTACAGATTATCCTTTGCTCCAAATTTCAGCCCAGTTAAGTAGAAGTACGAGTACGACGTCCACGCAAAGCAAGATCCTCCTGAGTGACAGCGAGTCGCCTAGGAGTTCGTTAACTACATACTGGACATTCGAAGTTATGCTGACTTAATCCATTCACTTTCGCCACTTATCTTTACATCAATAGCCACCCTTCGATAACTAATTGGTGGCAATCTTACATAACAGC